TGGGTGGGTGGGTGGGTGGGTGGGAATCTTTCAAGTTATGAAGAAACCACCTCGACTGTAAATAAGCTGCTCGATCCAGAGCTGTTGAACCCTAAACCTATAAAGTCTCAGCCCCAAGTCCTTAATCCCAAACCCCAAATCCTCAATCTTAAACCTAAACCCCAAATCCTAACACCCTAACCCACAAATCCTAAACCCTAAATCCGAAATCCTAAACTCAAGCCCCTGCGCACCAAGACAAGACGTGCTTAGGCCGAAGTCAAGAGGGCCAAGAAACTTCTGGGAGGCGCGAGGTTTAGGGTTTAGGGTTTAGGATTTAGGGTTTAGGGTTTAGGGTTTAGGGTTGGGCTTCTCTTAGTTCCCCAATACCCAACCTTTAAACTTTTTGGGTTCATGTAATTTAGTAGTAACCTGATTTTTTAACCTTTTATGTCCGTGGCTTATTGGGGAAGTAAGTTCCAGGGCTGCAGCTCTTTGTCAGGTTTAAGGGTCTAGGACTCTAGGATTTGGGGTTTAGGGTTTAGGATTTGAGGTTTAGGGTTTAGGATTTGGGGTTCAGGGTTTAGGATTTAGGATGTGAGGATGTGGTTCTAGGATGTGGGGTTCAGGGTTTCGGGTTTAGGATTTGAGGCTTAGGGTTTAGGATTTGGGGCTCAGGGTTTAGGGTTTAGGATTTGAGGTTTAGGGTCTAGGATTTGGGGTTCAGGGTTTAAGGTTCAAGATTTAAGGTTTAGGGTCTAGGATTTGGGGTTTAGCGCTTAGGATTTAAGGTTTAGGGTCTAGGATTTGGGATTCGGGGTTTAGGGCTTAGGGCCTAGGATTTGAGGTTTCGGGTTTAGGATAATTTGGGGTTTAGGATATGGGCTTTAGAGACCGCATGACACTCCCTGTTGGATGGGGTGCGAGCTGAAATCAATACGCCACCCATGATGGAGGACCAGAAGATCAAGCCTATGCCAAAGGGTACTTGGGGAGGGTCCTGGCGGACGTTGAAAACCTTTTAGGACGTAAGCTTGTTAACCCTACCCTAAAACCTTATTGATCTATCTATCCATCAGTCGATCAACCAATCCATCAATCAATCAATCAATCAATCAATCGATCCATCTATGAATCAATCAACAAATCCATCACCATATCTATCTATCTGTCTATCTATCTATCTATCTATCTATCTATCTGTCTACCTATCTATCTAAATATCTACGTATCTACCTCATTACATGTATCCTTTGGATTCTCTGGTTTTGGTTCTGGGACTGATGGCCTCCTGAGAGCTTGCAGGGCCCCCTTGAGGCAGCCTGGAATCCGGTTGAAATCCTGGAGCTCCAGGATTTTAGGGTTTAGGGTTTAGGGTTTAGGGTTTAGGGTTTAGGGGTTAGGGTTTAGGGTTTAGGGGTTTATGCTTAAGGGTCTAGGGCTTAGGGTTTGAACTTAAATATTCAGTGTTGCGGGTTTAGGGTTGATGCTGGGATATGTAGGGTTTATGGAAAAGCTGATCCTAATCCCTGAACCCTCTTTGCAGTCACACTTTGCCCTTACCTTCTAGAGCTGAACAAGCCCTAAACCAACAAGCAAGCACTAAACGAAGATGTGGATCAAAAGACTTGAAGAGGCATGCTAGTTCCTGGCCGGTCTGCGGAGATGATGTTCGCCGCCGGTTACGCCTCTCTGCAGCAATTTGGCACATGAGATCAGCCTCGGGCGCCTTAATAAAGGGATACAGGAAATCGCACCAAATTAAGGCCGCTGTGTTGGGCTTGGCGCTTCCGCGAATTCGGGCTTCAGCCCCAAAGCTTGTGTGAAGGGTTGCGCTGGCATTTACCTAGAATCCCTCGAAGGCCCGGTAAGTATAGAGTAGCTCACGAATTCCTAGATGACGGCTGTGGCTAGTCCGACATCCAAAGATGCATCTGAACAGAGTCAGCGCATTCCGGGTCTAGCAATGCAACATATAAGCATCCAGTGTGGAAACTGCAGAGACGCATGTTGAGGGCAATTGCCAGATAGAGTGAATGCTGCTGCTCGATGTACCTATCCGAAGATATTCCTGGCGTTCTGCGCCGGCTCTGAACCGCACCAAAAGCTCTCAACACCAAAGTCTGCCCAAATGACCAAAGCCTAGCGCCCTCCAATCCTCCAGCCTGAACCCAAGCACCCCCGGGGTTTAGGGTTTAGGAGCTTCAAAACAGGACTTGGTTTGCACCACCAGCGATGTGATCTTGGTCCGTGCCGCCGCGGAGAACATCGCCCCCCGGACGATGCCTTTGTGGCTTTGTTTCCGGGTTTACGGGTTCGGGTTTAAGGTTCAGGCAACTTTGGTCTCGAAAGCTCCAGGATGCACACGAGAGTTCAGTGAGGGTTTTCAAACGCTAGAAACCCTTAAACTACAATAGCTTTTTGTGTGTAGGTAATCATGGGAGCCTGCAGAAAAGTAGGTTATGGTGCCGCAAACCATTCACAGCTCCATGCTTAAAGCTCTAAACACCTACAAACTTCACACACACACACACACCACCACCGCCTTAAAGCCTAAAATTTGAACCCGTACCACCCAGAGCATTGGTGGGGTTAAGATCAGGGCTTGAGTAGTTACCAAGATTGTTCGGTGGCGTTCCTTGTGCAATCCTGTAATAATGGGCTCCTTTTTGTTGTAGACCCCCTGTGGATCTTTTATAGAACCCGCTAAGGAACCCTTACCCTAAACCCTAAACCCCAAAACCGTACACGCTATCTACGCAGCTCTGAGGGCTTGTGCTGCCGCCCAGGTTCGAGAGGCAAAACCCCCGGCAACCGGGCCCAAAGGCCCAGCAGTGCTACGAATGACCAGGGATTAGGGTGTTCGGGTTCTATAGGGTGTTAGGGTGTCAGGGTTTTAGGGTTTAGGGCTTTTGGGTTTTTGGGATTAGTGTGTACGGTGTTAGGGTTTTAGCGATTGGGGCTTAGGGTTTGTAGGGATTAGGGTTTA